CCAGCCGGGGTTCCGGTCGCCAGCCCCGCTCAGCCCGCTGCCGGCCTGGATGAACTGAACTCCGGGCCGGCAGCGGGCTGAGCGGGGCTGGCGACCGGGACCCCGACTGGCAGGGGCCGGCGGACGGAACCCCAGACTGGCAGCGGGTTGAGCGGCTCAGCCCACTGCCAGCCTGGGGTCCTGGCCACCAGCCCCCGCTCACCCTGCTGCCAGTCTGGGGTTCCGTCCGTTGGCCTGTGTAAATATAAAATGTATTATTGGCATGCCAAACCTTAAATTAATGAAGACTTGACACGCCACTTCTCAAAGGTTGCCGACCCCTGCTATACAGCATCAACAAATGGTACATCATCATCATCACTGGGTCCAGTTAATACCATATTACAGATACACAGTTAAAAATCACGACAGTCTGTAGTGTGTGTGTATGCATGTGCATGTATATAAAGTTAAACTTCAGGGTCCAGTTCTGCAGGAGTGCAGAGAGGGATTTCTGCTGAGAATGAGTGAGTGATGTGATGCCTTTTAAAACTGTTTTTCTACCTTGTGGTGGCCCAGATGCCAAATACAAAAACAGACAAGATTCAACTATCTGCTAACCACATGATAATACAACTCTCTAATTGCAGATTCTTCAACTGGAGCATATCAGGGAGCCTAGAATCATAGAATCATAGAATCTCAGGGTTGGAAGGGACCTCAGGAGGTCATCTAGTCCAACCCCCTGCTCAAAGCAGGACCAATCCCCAACTAAATCATCCCAGCCAGGACTTTGTCAAGCCTGACCTTAACAACTTCTAAGGAAGGAGATTCCACCACCTCCCTAGGTAACGCATTCCAGTGTTTCACCACCCTCCTAGTGAAAAAGTTTTTCCTAATATCCAACCTAAACCTCCCCCACTGTAACTTGAGACCATTACTCCTTGTTCTGTCATCTGCTAGCACTGAGAACAGTCTAGAGCCATCCACTTTGGAACCCCCTTTCAGGTAGCTGAAAGCAGCTATCAAATCTCCCCTCATTCTTCTCTTCCGTAGACTAAACATCCCCAGTTCCCTCAGCCTCTCCTCATAAGTCATGTGTTCCAGTCCCCTAATCATTTTTGTTGCCCTCCGCTGGACTCTTTCCAATTTTTCCACATCCTTCTTGTAGTGTGGGGCCCAAAACTGGACACAGTACTCCAGATGAGGCCTCAACAATGTCGAATAGAGGGGAACAATCATGTCCCTCGATCTGCTGGCAATACCCCTACTTATAGAGCCCAAAATGACATTGGCCTTCTTGCAACAAGGGCACACTGTTGACTCATATCCAGCTTCTTGTCCGCTGTAACCCCTAGGTCCTTTTCTACACAACTGCTGCCGAGCCATTCGGTCCCTAATCTGTAGCGGTGCATGGGATTCTTCCGTCCTAAGTGCAGGACTCTGCACTTGTCCTTGTTCAACCTCATCAGATTTCTTTTGGCCCAATCCTCTAATTTGTCTTGGGCCCTCTGTATCCTATCTCCACCCTCCAGCATATCTGCCTCTCCTCCCAGTTTAGTGTCATCTGCAAACTTGCTGAGGGTGCAATCCATACCATCCTCCAGATCATTTATGAAGATATTGAACAAAACCGGACCCAGGACCGACCCTTGGGGCACTCCACTTGATACCGGCTGCCAGCTAGACATGGAGCCATTGATCACTACCCATTGAGCCCAACAATCTAGCCAACTTTCTATCCACCTTATAACACACAGGTTAAGTACTTGGGCTGTGCCCAAAGAAGCCCTTCAAGGGAACTAGCAGGGATGATTGAATCCTCATGCCGCTAATCACTTCCAGGTTGTTGTTGAAGCCATAACTCCCACAAATGAAGCACAAACATACACATACACACTGTGGGGTAAAATGGCAGACCCATCTGCCCCATCCCTACTCCTCCTTTGGCACATTTCTTCCAGCATATTTGGGAAGAGTGACAACTGTACTGATTCCTTCCTGCCCTCTCACATTGATTCTGCTGTGTTCATAACCTTGCTTGTCCATGTGGGCAGCAAGGTTTTGCCCTTACTGAGCAAATATGTAGAAGGATAAATTGAACTCTCCATAACAAATGGCTCCAAATCCTATCGGAAGGCAGCGTGTCAAGTAGTTAGAAGAGAATATTATTGAGTCACAAGATTCTGTTCTTACGTCCACCACGGAAGCACTGTTTGACCTTGGTGCCAGTCACTTATCAACTCAGTGCTTCAGTACCCCCATTTGTAAAATGGAGACAACATTGCATACCTAACTTTGTAAAATGCTTTGAGATTCTTGGATGAAAGGCATTATATAAGTGCGAAGTATCAATATTGTCTATGATATACTGCTACTCCCAGACCCACAAACTTTTGGTTTCAGAGTAGCAGCCGTGTTAGTCTGTATCAGCAAAAAGAACAGGAGTACTTGTGGCACCTTAGAGACTAACAAATGTGTTAGTCTCTAAGGTGCCACAAGTACTCCTGTTCTTTTTACAAACTTTTGGACAAGTCAAGGGGCTCTGTGTTAGATCTCTTCCCATCTCTACTATTTGTTGTCTTGACCTGCATCTATATTATCGCTAGAATATTCAATATGTCTCAGATTATTTTATAGTAGAGCAGTTGGATCAAACCTCAAAATATTCTCCTCTTATTGTTGTTACATGAATTTTGTCCATATTGCCTCTTCTAATTTGTGTTTTTACTTCTGAAAGGCAGTTTCTGGGTGCAGACACACCCAAGCAATACCAAATAGGATTTGGAAGTTACACAAATCATCCCAGACATATTCTGTAAACAAGGAATAACAATTGAATCCCAAAGACCTGCTTGAAGACATGGAATTTACAAGGGTTCTAAAGTCTCATGCTTCTAGGCCTAAGTTTATCTTTGGCTTCAGCCAGGAAGTCATCTCCCTACATGATATAGTATACTACAGTCTTGCTTCATTAGATCCATTATGGGTGTTCTAGTCTTTCCTATGAAATATCAGAGGTGATTCTTTCATTTTAAAAATGAGGATGCTCCTTGATCCTGGAGCCACAGGTGCTGAAACTGGGGGTGCTACCGCACCCCCTGGTTTGAAGTGGTTTCCATCATATACAGGGTTTACATTTTGCTTCAATGGCTCTCAGAACCCCCATCATACAAATTGTTCCAGCACTCCTGCCTGGAGCAATATAAATATCATCAATAAGAACTCAACCTATAATTATTTCCATGACAACCAATTACACCATCACAGTGGATTATGGTTTTCTGGTGACGAGTAAGTTACAAGAGTTTATGAACCTGAAGAAATAACCTATTTTCAGGCAAATGTTCCAACAACAAGAAGATAGGAAAAGGAATATAGATAACAATATATATAAAAAAGTATCTAAATAATAAAAAGAAAAGGAGTACTTGTGGCAACTTAGAGACTAACAAATTTATTTGAGCATAAGCTTTCGTGAGCTACAGCTCACTTCATCGGATGCATTCAGTGGATAAATAAATTTGTTAGTCTCTAAGGTGCCACAAGTATTCCTTTTCTTTTTGCAAATACAGACTAACACGGCTGCTACTCTGAAACCTATCTAAATAATGTATAACCTGTACGTTCCCGCCAGGAGACATCAACAGGTCTTTTAGGATATATCTACACCACAATTAGACACCTGCGGTGTGCTCATGCCAGCTGGCTCAGACTTGGGCTCAGGGCCTGTTTAACTGCAGTGTAGATGTTGGGCTTGGGCTACAGCCTGGGCTCTGGCACCTCCCACCTTGCAGGGTCCTCCAGCGCAAGCCCAAACATCTATACTGCAATTGATCAGCCCCTTAGCCTGAGCTCCACGAGCCCGAGTCTGGCACGGGCCAGACATGAGCTTTTAATTGTAGTGTAGATATACTCTAAGACCTCTGGTTCCCAGCCAGTGGGAGCTGCAGAACCAGCACTCAGGACAGGGACGGGGCAGCGCTCAGAGCCGCCTAGTCGCGCCTCCGCCTAGGAGCACCAGAGATAGGTCGCTGCTTGAGGGGAGCTGTCAGAGGTGAGCTCTGCCCAGATCTGGCACCCCACACCCTCTCCTGCACCTCTGCTCCAAGCCCTCTTCTGCACCCAAATTCCCTCTCAGAGCCCGCTTCCTGCACTGCCTCCCACACTCCGAACCCCTCGTGGCCATTCCTCCGCCTAGGAGCAACAGGTACATGTCGCCACTTCTGGGGAGCCATGAGGAGCCAGGAAGGGAGCCTGCTGGCCCCACATCAACTGGACTATTAACCGGATTTTCAATGAAGATCAGAAATGCTGGTTTATAGAGCTTTTCAGCTGGTAAAGTGCTGGATAACACAGCTTTTACTGTACTCCTCCTCTCTGATGTGTTTTGGGGATGTGCGCATTGCTTTACTGCAATAGCACAGAATACAATGAGTTTGTATTCCTCATTTTACACTGGCAGCCTGTTCTGGGACAAGATGTTGGGTTCCTTCACAAAATTATGACTTTTAAATGTAATCACAATGTACCATGGATCCAGTAAAGCTGAAGCTTACTTCATATCCTGTTGAGGACAGTGTATTTGAATAAAGAAAAGGAGTACTTGTGGCACCTTAGAGACTAACAAATTTAATTGAGCATAAGCTTTCGTGAGCTACAGCTCACTTCATCGGATGCATGCAGTGGAAAATACAGTGGGGAGATTTATATACACAGAGAACATGAAACAATGGGTGTTACCATACACACTGTAACAAGAGTGATCAGGTAAGGTGAGCTCTTACCAGCAGGAGAGTGGCTCACCTTGATTATCACTACAAAAGGTTCCCCCCCCCCCCACTCTCCTGCTGGTAAGAGCTCACCTTACCTAATCACTCTTGTTATACTGTGTATGGTAACACCCATTGTTTCATGTTCTCTGTGTATATAAATCTCCCCACTGTATTTTCCACTGCATGCATCCGATGAAGCGAGCTATAGCTCACGAAAGCTTATGCTCAAATAAATTTGTTAGTCTCTAGGCCCTGGTCTACACTAGGACTTTGTCGAATTTAGCAGCGTTAAATCGATGTAAACCTGCACCCGTCCACACAATGAAGCCCTTTATTTCGACTTAAAGGGCTCTTAAAATCGATTTCCTTACTCCACCCCTGACAAGTGGATTAGCGCTTAAATCGACGTTGCCGGCTCGAATTTGGGGTACTGTGGACACAATTCGATGGTATTGGCCTCCGGGAGCTATCCCAGAGTGCTCCATTATGACCGCTCTGGACAGCACTCTCAACTCAGATGCACTGGCCAGGTAGACAGGAAAAGAACCGCGAACTTTTGAATCTCATTTCCTGTTTGGCCAGCGTGGCAAGCTGCAGGTGACCATGCAGAGCTCATCAGCACAGGTGACCATGATGGAGTCCCAGAATTGCAAAAGAGCTCCAGCATGGACCGAACGGGAGGTACAGGATCTGATCGCTGTTTGGGGAGAGGAATCCGTGCTATCAGAACTCCGTTCCAGTTTTCGAAATGCCAAAACCTTTGTGAAAATCTCCCAGGGCATGAAGGACAGAGGCCATAACAGGGACCCGAAGCAGTGCCGCGTGAAACTGAAGGAGCTGAGGCAAGCCTACCAGAAAACCAGAGAGGCGAACAGCCGCTCTGGGTCAGAGCCCCAAACATGCCGCTTCTATGATGAGCTGCATGCCATTTTAGGGGGTTCAGCCACCACTACCCCCGCCGTGTTGTTTGACTCCTTCAATGGAGATGGAGGCAATACAGAAGCAGGTTTTGGGGACGAAGAAGATGATGATGATGAGGAGGTTGTAGATAGCTCACAGCAAGCAAGCGGAGAAACCGGTTTTCCCGACAGCCAGGAACTGTTTCTCACCCTAGACCTGGAGCCAGTACCCCCCGAACCCACCCAAGGCTGCCTCCTGGACCCAGCAGGCGGAGAAGGGACCTCTGGTGAGTGTACCTTTTAAAATACTATACATGGTTTAAAAGCAAGCATGTGAAAGGATTACTTTGCCCTGGCATTTGCGGTTCTCCTAGATGTAGTCCTAAAGCCTTTGCAAAAGGTTTCTGGGGAGGGCAGCCTTATTGCGTCCTTCATGGTAGGACACTTTACCACTCCAGGCCAGTAACACGTACTCAGGAATCATTGTACAACAAAGCATTGCAGTGTATGTTTGCTGGCATTCAAACAACATCCGTTCTTTATCTCTCTGTGTTATCCTCAGGAGAGTGAGATATAATTCATGGTCACCTGGTTGAAATAGAGTGCTTTTCTTCAGGGGACACTCAGAGGAGCCCATTCCTGCTGGGCTGTTTGCCTGTGGCTAAACAGAAATGTTCCCCGCTGTTAGCCACAGGGAGGGGGGAAAGTTGAGGGGGTAGTCACGCGGTGGGAGGAGGCAAAATGCGACCTTGTAACGAAAGCACATGTGCTATGTATGTAATGTTAACAGCAAGGTTTACCCTGAAAGAGTGTAGCCACTGTTTTATAAAATGTGTCTTTTTAAATACCGCTGTCTCTTTTTTTTTTCTCCACCAGCTGCATGTGTTTCAATGATCACAGGATCTTCTCCTTCCCAGAGGCTAGTGAAGCTTAGAAAGAAAAAAAAACGCACTCGCGATGAAATGTTCTCCGAGCTCATGCTGTCCTCCCACACTGACAGAGCACAGACGAATGCGTGGAGGCAAATAATGTCAGAGTGCAGGAAAGCACAAAATGACCGGGAGGAGAGGTGGCAGGCTGAAGAGAGTAAGTGGCGGGCTGAAGAGAGTAAGTGGCGGGCTGAAGACAGGGCTGAAGCTCAAATGTGGCGGCAGCGTGATGAGAGGAGGCAGGATTCAATGCTGAGGCTGCTGCAGGACCAAACCAGTATGCTCCAGTGTATGGTTGAGCTGCAGCAAAGGCAGCTCGAGCACAGACTGCCACTGCTGCCCCTCTGTAACCAACCGCCCTCCTCCCCAAGTTCCATAGCCTCCACACCCAGACGCCCAAGAACGCGGTGGGGGGGCCTCCGGCCAACCAGCCACTCCACCACAGAGGATTGCCCAAAAAAAAGAAGGCTGTCATTCAATAAATTTTAAAGTTGTAAACTTTTAAAGTGCTGTGCTTAAAGTGCTGTGTGGCATTTTCCTTCCCTCCTCCACCACCCCTCCTGGGCTACCTTGGTAGTCATCCCCCTATTTGTGTGATGAATGAATAAAGAATGCATGAATGTGAAGCAACAATGACTTTATTGCCTCTGCAAGCGGTGATTGAAGGGAGGAGGGGAGGGTGGTTAGCTTACAGGGAAGTAGAGTGAACCAAGGGGCGGGGGGTTTCATCAAGGAGAAACAAACAGAACTTTCACACCATAGCCTGGCCAGTCATGAAACTGGTTTTCAAAGCTTCTCTGATGCGTACCGCGCCCTCCTGTGCTCTTCTAACCACCCTGGTTTCTGGCTGCGCGTAACCAGCAGCCAGGCGATTTGCCTCAACCTCCCACCCCGCCATAAACGTCTCCCCCTTACTCTCACAGATATTGTGGAGCACACAGCAAGCAGTAATAACAGTGGGAATATTGGTTTCGCTGAGGTCTAAGCGAGTCAGTAAACTGCGCCAGCGTGCCTTTAAACGTCCAAATGCACATTCTACCACCATTCTGCACTTGCTCAGCCTGTAGTTGAACAGCTCCTGACTACTGTCCAGGCTGCCTGTGTACGGCTTCATGAGCCATGGCATTAAGGGGTAGGCTGGGTCCCCAAGGATACATATAGGCATGTCAACATCCCCAACAGTTATTTTCTGGTCTGGGAATAAAGTCCCTTCCTGCAGCTTTTGAAACAGACCAGAGTTCCTGAAGATGCGAGCGTCATGCACCTTTCCCGGCCATCCCACGTTGATGTTGGTGAAACGTCCCTTGTGATCCACCAGAGCTTGCAGCACTATCGAAAAGTACCCCTTGCGGTTTATGTACTCGGCGGCTTGGTGCTCCGGTGCCAAGATAGGGATATGGGTTCCGTCTATAGCCCCACCACAGTTAGGGAATCCCATTGCAGCAAAGCCATCCACTATGACCTGCACATTTCCCAGGGTCACTACCCTTGATATCAGCAGATCTTTGATTGCGTGGGCTACTTGCATCACAGCAGCCCCCACAGTAGATTTGCCCACTCCAAATTGATTCCCAACTGACCGGTAGCTGTCTGGCGTTGCAAGCTTCCACAGGGCTATCGCCACTCGCTTCTCAACTGTGAGGGCTGCTCTCATCTTGGTATTCATGCGCCTCAGGGCAGGGGAAAGCAAGTCACAAAGTTCCATGAAAGTGCCCTTACGCATGCGAAAGTTTCGCAGCCACTGGGAATCGTCCCAGAACCGCAACACTATGCGGTCCCACCAGTCTGTGCTTGTTTCCCGAGCCCAGAATCGGCGTTCCACAGCATGAACCTGCCCCATTAGCACCATGATGCATGCATTGGCAGGGCCCATGCTTTCAGAAAAATCTGTGTCCACGTCCTGATCACTCACGTGACCGCGCTGACATCGCCTCCTCGCCCGGTATCGCTTTGCCAGGTTCTGGTGCTGCATATACTGCTGGATAATGCGTGTGGTGTTTAATGTGCTCCTAATTGCCAAAGTGAGCTGAGCGGCCTCCATGCTTGCCTTGGTATGGCGTCCGCACAGAAAAAAGGCGCGGAACGATTGTCTGCCGTTGCTCTGACGGAGGGAGGGGCGACTGATGACACGGCTTACAGGGTTGGCTTCAGGGAGCTAAAATCAACAAAGGGGGTGCCTGTACATCAAGGAGTATTTCAGGCAGGACTTCACGGAGGGTTCCAATAAGAAATGGTGCACCTAAGTTATCGTTCTTATTGGAACAAGGAGGTTAGCCTGGCCTCTGATTGATACATGGCTAGATTTACCTCGCTGCACCTTCTCTGTGAGTGACTGCAGAGTGACCTAGAGGAATGAGTCCCCTAGACAGGGGAGGAGGCAAATGAGTACAAAACAAATCTGGTCTATTTCTTGTTTTGACCCACTCCATCTATCTTTTACATCTTTGGCTGGCAGCAGACGGTGCAGAAGGACTGCATGCCATCCACATCTCATGGCTGCTCGGCAGAAGATGGTACAGTATGACTGCTAGCCATCCCCATCTCTTGCCTGCCTGGCAGAAGATGGTACAGTACGACTGCTAGCAGTCCGTATCGCCTGCCCGCTCACCATAAGACGGTTCAATAGGACTGACTGCAGGACTAAAGAGAATGACCTGGTCAAGTCACTCCAAATTTAGTCCCTGCGCCCATGTCTGCCCAGGCGCTCCCAGCCGACATGGCCAGGAGCACCTCGGACACGACGAGGACGACTACCAATCGTATTGCGCCGTCTGCTGCCAGAAGGCAATGGGTTGCTGCTATTGTGCAGCAAAGCCGTACCGCGTCTGCCAGCACCCAGGAGACATAGGGTGACGGTTACCTAAGCGGGCTCCATGCTTGCCGTGGTATGGCGTCTGCACAGGTAACTCAGGAAAAAAGGCGCGAAATGATTGTCTGCCCTTGCTTTCACGGAGGGAGGGAGGGAACGGGGGCCTGACGATACGTACCCAGAACCACCCGCGACAATGTTTTAGCTCCATCAGGCATTGGGATCTCAACCCAGAATTCCAATGGGCAGCGGAGACTGCGGGAACTGTGGGATAGCTACCCACAGTGCAACGCTCCGGAAGTCGACTCTAGCCTCGGTACTGTGGAAGCGCTCCGCCGAGTTAATGCGCTTAATGCACTTAGAGCATTTTCTGTGGGGACACACACACTCGAATATATAAAACCGATTTCTAAAAAACCGACTTCTATAAATTTGACCTTATTCCGTAGTGTAGACATACCCTAAGGTGCCACAAGTACTCCTTTTCTTTTTGCGGATACAGACTAACACGGCTGCTACTCTGAAACCTGTATTTGAATAGTTGCAACAATATATTTCTTCCTATATTTACCTTTGCTTTATTTTATCATGTTGCTTGTTTATGGAAAATCTAATAAATCCACTTAAGATAATAAGGTCACATTTATGAGCCAGAGGAGATTTGCTTATATCATTGCAGTTATCAAAAAGCATTTTTCAAGTATTTTTGTACTTGTTTACAGTGACCACCCTTAGGAGTTGTCAGATCCAGTGCTACGTTACATAAACAAGATAAAAAAAAAAATTCTCAGCTGGATCCTTAAAAAGAGAATTTAGTTGCCAGATGGACACCCCTGGAGACTAAAGTCCTATGTTTTTCCACAGATTTGGTACAGTAGAGGCAGTTCTACTGAAAACTACTTGGCACTGCCCTGCTACAATCTCTCAACCCTACCCTAAGAGGACCAACTATAGAGGTAAGAAGAGAGTTCAGAGTTCATGATCAAGTCAGCCTTTGGCAAAGTTGCCAACATGGGAGCCAATTAGTGCCAACTGTAATGGGTCTTTTTGATGCTGACACGTGCAGTATGAATCTGATAGAGACCATATACTGCAAAGATAAAGGGCCATGTGCTATTAATGGTTAGGCTTCCAAAGGAAGTTCAGAGTTGACACATAGCCTGCGGGACACTATCCAGTGACTCATTTCTTGCTGACTCCCACAGACACAAAAGAAACAACGACAGAGATGGAGACAGTGAACATAGTCGGGAGAGATTACAGCAGCAGCATAACTGTTTGCTGTATTTCTTGCTGCTACTTAAATAAGTTACCCTAAGTGCTGCCTAGATCACTACTGAAATACTCCATGGTTCCAGAAATAGAAGCCGCAGATTCCTAGAAAATCCAGAAGAAAAACAGCCAGATTGCAAATGCTTGAGGAAAATCATGTTGTCTACTAATAGGTTGAAAAGCAAACAAAAAATAGCTACTGTTGAGCCTGTACAACTGCAACATGTAAATCCACCGATCATAAATCTCATGGAGAATTCTGAAACTTGGAAAAGGTTCAAACTGCAATTTAAGATGTAGATGGTAGTAAAATGGAAGTTGGGCTAAAAACTGCACTGCTGTTGATGGTAGCTGATGGAGAAGATCTACATATTTACAATGCAGTCAGTCTGAAATGAAAGAAAAGAGAGCAATGAAAATCTGTGACTGTTAGTGTGTCCCTAGTAGAGCTGAGCATATAATAGATTTTTTGGTTTGATGGCTGAAACAAACAACAAAAATTCATTTAGGTGGAACGAACCATTTCAAAAACGTTGTTTTGAAATGAAGTGTAAAAACTAAACGTCTTTTTCCCCCCAGCCAAAACTATTTGCCATATTCAACCCAAATTCAGTAATAGTTTTGGTGTCCTGATAATGCATTTCTCTGCAAAGTTATTACTCGTTGAAAAAATTTCAGCCAACTCTAGTTCCTGAGTTACCTATGAAAAATATATTTTCCAGAGTCTTATGAATCTGGAATATCAGAAGACTCCCTTCATTAAATATCAGTATAAAAGTACAAGAAAAGCTACAAAGGGTACATTTACACTGCAATTAAAAACCTGTGGCTGACCATGCCAGCTGTCTGGGCTCGTGGGGCTTGGGTTAAGTAGGGGAGGTTTAATTGTGGTGTAGATGTTTGGGCTCAGGCTGGAGCACGGGCTTTAGGACCCTGAGAGGTGGGAGAGCCCCAGAGCTTGGCCTGCAGCCCAACCCAGAACCCTTAGCTGGAGCCACACAAGCCCAGGTCAGCCACAGGTGTCTAATTGCAGTGTAGACATATCCTTAGTGACACACACCTTATACTTGAAAAGGCATCATTCACATGCAAAGCAGCAGAACATAAAGAAATGCAAATGAAATTCCTAGAGTGAGGCACAAAGTGCATGGCTGTGATCAACACAGCTAACCAAAGAACAGATTAATTAAGATAATGTTGAAATAAGGAACGGTACAGAGTTCAAGCATAAAAGTTTCTGGTTGTCAGGGGATAAGGTACAGATTATCAAGGGGTGCAAAATTTGATTTAGGAGCTAGTGGAGCAAGGATCACATAATAATCTGCAATCTCCCCGACTGGGGGAAAAGTTTAACCGGTCAGAGTACAGACATCGAGATATGGGGTAAGTTACCCACACAACGGCTATGTTAAGTATGCTGGGTATAGTGAGTGAATACGGGGGTGGGGATGGGTCTACCCTCATTTGGTGGGGTTTAATGTTCAGTGGGTTTACGGT